TTCTCAGTCTGCTGGGTGTCAACATTTTATCATTTTGACTGAAATGTAGAACTCTTACCTCCTTTTATGACCCTTTACCGCCCCCTTCTCATGTAATTGATTTAAATATTTCCCCTACATACACTGAGAAGCACATCCCTGTTATAATTTTTGTTTCAACTACTAAGCGTAATTTATAAAACTCAAGAGGAGAAGGAAAGTAATTGTAATTACCCATATTTTTGCTCTTTCCCTTGTTCTTTCTTCCTTCTTGATGTTCCAAGATTCTTTTTTGTTTTTATCGTTTCCTGTCTGTTTGGAGAACTCTCTTGAGCCATTTTTTCAGAGTAGATAGTGCTGGTGACAAATTCTGTTAGTTTTTGTTCATCTGAGAACATCTTGATTTGCTTTTGAGTGATGTTTTTGCTGAATGTAGAGTCCTCAGTGGCATTTCTCTCAGCACTTGAAAAGTGTGCCATTTCCTTCTGGGCTCCTTGGTTTCTGATGAGAAATTTGCTGGAGGCTTTCAGAATTTTTCCTTTGGTCTTCAGTTTTTAGAGGTTTGACTATAATGGGTCTTGGTGTGGATTTCTTTGGGTTTATCCTGTTGGAGGTTGTTCAGTCTTGAATCTGTAGGTTTATGTATTTTTTTGCCAAATTTGGCAAATTTTTAGTGATTATTTCTTTGAATACTTTTTCAGCCCTACCTCCTTTTTCTTCTCCTTCTGGGACTTGGAAGACATGAATGTTAGAGCTTTTGTTATATATCCCATGTGTCCTGGAGGCCCTGTTCATTTGTTTATCAGTCTGTTTTCTCTTTGTGGTTCAGATGGGGTAATTTCTGTTGTTCTGTCTTCAAGTTCAGTGATTCTTTCCTCTGTCCTTTTCTGCTCTTGAGCCCATCCATTGAGATTTTTACTTCAGGTATTGTGTTTTTTAGTTCTAAAATTTCCATGTGGTTTTGTTTTTATATCTTCTAGCTTTGCTGTGACTTTGTGTTTCTTTACTGAGACTTTCTTTTATTTTCCATTTGTTTCCAGTGTGTTTGTAATTGCTCACTGAAGCGTTTTTGATGGCTCCTAAAATCTTGTTCGATAATTCTATTATCTGTGTCATCCCAGTGTTGGCATGTGTTGTCTTTTCTCATTTTAGTTGAGATGTTCCTGGTTCTTCCTATGGTGAGAGATTTTTTTTTTTGTTGAAACCTGGACATTTTGGGTATTACATTATGAGATTCTGGATCTTATTGAAATCTTATGTATCAGCAAGTCACTTCTTTTCTTTTTTTTGGATTGTTTATTTTTTTATTGAGGTATAATTGACATACAGTATTATATTAATTTCAGATGTACAAGATAATGATTCAATATTTGTATATATTGTGAAATGATCACCACAATAAGTTTAGTTAACATCCATCACCATACATAGTTAACAGAATTTTTTTTCTTGTGATGAGAACTTTTAAGATTTACTTTCTTAGCAACTTTCAAATATGCGATACATTATTATTAACTATAGTTGCCATGCTGTACATTATATCCCCATAACTTATTTATTTTATAACTGGAAGTTTGTGCCTTTTGACTGCTTTCACCCATTTCACCCACCCCCACCCCCTGCCTCTGGCAACCACCACTCTGTTCTCTGTATCTATGAGCTTAGTTTTTTTTTTTTCTTTTTTTTCTTTTTAGATTCCACATATAAGTGAGATCGTACTTGTCTTGATCCTACAAATACTTGACGGTATTTGTCTCTCTCTGTTTGACTTATTTTATTTAGCATAATGCCCTCAAGGTCCATTGATGTTGTCACAAATGATAAGATTTCTTTTTCTTTTATGGTTGAAGTAAGTCATTTTTGATATGGCTCCAGCAGGGGCAGGGGGATGCCCCTGTTAATGCCAGATTGGGGTCAAAGTTCTGATTTTCTTCTTGGCCTTTGTTGACGCTCAGCTGGAGAGGGGCTCCATGTTACTGCTGAGTGGGGTTAGGAGTTCAGGCTCCCCACTAGGCCTCTGCAGATAACATCCTGGCTGGGAGGCGAGGGTGCCTTGTTACTGCTGGTGGTGGTGGAAGTCCTGGCTTTCTGGTGGGCTTCCTCTGACAGAACCCCAGTGTGGAAGGAGAGGGGCTTGTTTCTGCTGCGTGGGATGGAGGTCCTGGCTCCCCACGTGGTATCCACTGACACTGAGGGTGGGGGGTTTGTTTTTCTCTGGTGTTGATTGGAGTCTGGTTATTGTTTTAAGGTTTTCTGTCTTTTCAGGCTGCCCCTTTCATCTCCTTTGGCTAGAGATAGCAGGCTTTTTTGGGGACCTTTTTTGTTTGTGCCTATTGGTGTTCCTGGGTTGCCGGCTTTTCGAGCACCTGGGTATGGGATATATGAGACAAAAAGAAGACGTAGAGAACTCACCACTGTGTTGTTCCTAGGGTCCTGAGGTCCCTAGCCAGTCTGCTTTCTTCTCTTCACCTCTCAGCATCTTTTTGTGTTTCTTTAATATATGAAGTCCAGGGATTCTAGCTGGACTTATTGAGAGGAATAGGGAAAAGTGTGTTTACTCCATCTTTCCAGAAGCAGAAGTCCAAATTTAATTAATATTGAATAGGTAATGTCTTCATGTGACATAAAAGTGAACTGTATATATAAAAAGATGTACAGTGAAAATTGACCTTCTCCCACTCACTTCCCCTCTTAGATGGCAACTACTGTTTCTGGTTTCTTGTGTATCCTTCCTTAGGTACTCTCTACATACACCAGCAAATGTACACAGACATATGTTTTTCCCCAAGTGGTGGCATACCACATGCACTGTTTTACACCTTGTTTTTTTTCTCATAACACCACTTCTTAGTGATCCTTCTAGATTAATACATGAAGGACTGCTTCATTCTTTTTCATGGCTTCATGATATCCTATTGCATGGGGATGCCACATGTATGTAACTAGTTGGAATGTTTAAATGTTGATTCCATTATCTGTTATATTTATTGTCCTTTCCATTTTAGTGTCCTCTGTACATTTCTAGCCTTCTCTGATTATACGTGAGTCGGGGTTCTGTAGTATGCTGTGGTGTGCTGGAGATAGCTGCTGGAGTGACACAGGTCATTATTCTATGATGAGTCATATAATCTGTCAGTACTCATAGATGTTCATTGATAACTACTGTCTTAGACACATTTCTCCATTGTGTTCATAAGGACTGTTTAGACCATGTTTTGCTTTTCATAGGTACAAATAAAAGATTTTGAATATAAGCTCTGTATACCTTTACTCTCTTTCATGGATTCAGTTACTTCCTATATAATAGTTAAAAGAAGTATACTTTATGATTTTTTGTTTTTTGTTATTTCTGAGGGCCGCTAAAACATAGATCTACTATGATTTGGGGTCAGTGTACTTTGACCTACCTTTTTGGGAGGGATAAGATTTACTTTGTTGTCATTTAAATTTTGTGGTAGTTTCATTCTCCCTAAGTTTAGCATTTTTTTCTTTAAGGTGGTGATTTTTCTTTTGGTTAAATATATTGCCCTCAAATTCTTGGGAAATGTGAATGATGTCATGGTTTGCAGAATCTTTTTGCCTTTGTCTCTTCACAATCTTTTGTATTGACTTGGCAGTTTAATTCTAAATTCATGCATAATTAAGTTTGGTCTTGTCGAGGGGATAGAGTCTGTGACTTGTGCTGGCACACTGTGTGAGGATTTTTGAGGTCTGCTGTAAGCTGTCTTGCCAGGGGCCCTTAGAAATACCTGGGGTCCTGTGTGGTGTCTGTCAGTGTACCATTGAGTGGTGTGGTCCGTTTTCAGAGATGGGTTTGTTTATTTCTGCAGATCGCTTTAGTAAGTTATGGCCCAACAAACTTTTCTGTCCCCATTCTGAGCCTCATGCTCCAGACATGCGCCCTGCTTCTGACTGGGATGCTCTCTCTAGATTCAGTCCCCAGCATTTCCACGTCACCCCTGCTTCTTCAGTCCTGCAGAAATTCTGTCCTTTAGATTTGTGCCGCCTTTTGTTAACTTGAAGACTTCAAGACTAAACGTGACAGTGAGTTGGAGTGAGAAGAGGATTTCTGTCCTGTATCTCTTTCACTTCTTCAGCCTGTTGCTTCAAGATGCCTCTCTGAGAAAAAGCATTCAAATTCACTCTTATAGCTTTGTTGCCATTCTTCATCTGTAATAAATTACAGATTTCAGATAATTTACTTTTAAAAATAGTTGTATATGTTTACTAATTCTTTTTAGAATAAATTTGGTGAAGGTGAGTTTCTGGGAGCTCAAAGTGTGACCAAGGTTAGGAATTTAAATGGAAAATTGAATCTTTGTGAAGCTTTCTACATTTCATTAGATGTTAAATTCTGGAGTGAAGTTTTATGTGATTATTTACTACTAAGTATATTCCCAAATATCAAGATTAAGCTCTTATTAAAATAATGTATCATAAAGCCATTAATATTTTTACATAATACAGTTGTTTGATTATTGTACTTTTCTTTTTGTGACAGATATTAGCCAGCAACCTTCTAGTTTTTCCTTTTAATTCGAAGTCTTTTCTTTTCTGTAACAAGACTAAAAATATATTTTAAATCTATCTGATGCAGAGTTTTATTAAAATGAGAGCATATAGGCATTATTTTTCAGTTTACTCTCCTCTTCTGTGTTATGTTTTTAATTTTGTCTCCTTCCATATTGCGTTTTAAAATTTGGAACCTACTGATGTATACATTGCACTTACTATCTTGAGGGATTTTTCCAGATGAAACTGAGAAATTTAGTAATGTAGCTTCTGTCAGCATTAAAAGCAGACCAACTAAATTCCTTTGTGCCATTCTGAAAGTAATACTGGAACATAATAACTTGTTTCTGTATTAAAATTTTATGTACTCAGTGTCTTTTCCGAGAACACCTTCGACCACAGATAAAACGCTAACATTGAAGATTTACTTGTGCTTACGTAGGGATTGTATTATCTTTTCTTGCTCATGCAGATGTGCATAGTGATGGGATCTGTGTGCTGTCTTTTAGGCATTGCCATCAGAGAGTCGGCAAAGGTGGTTGACCAAGCCCAGAGGAGAGTGTTGAGGGGAGTGGATGACCTGGACTTCTTCATAGGGGACGAAGCTGTAGATAAACCCACGTATGCCACCAAGGTAGGCTCCTGACGAGAGCTGCTTCTTTCAGCGTGCAGCCAGACACAGAGCAGTAGAACGTAGAGTGCAGAATGGTGGATTATCTAGAAATTGTACCTGTGAGTTATGGAATGTGTTTTTATTCTTATGTTTGAAAAGAGGTTTTGTCCTTGTTTTTGAATAGGGTATTTATTTTTTTTGTGAGGAAGATCAGCCCTGAGCTAACATCCGATGCCAATCTTCCTCTTTTTTTTTTTTGCTGAGGAAGGTTGGCCCTGAGCTAACATCCATGCCTGTCTTCCTCCGCTTTACATGGGACCCCACCACAGCATGGCCTGACAAGCGGTGCGTTGGTGCGTGCCCAGGATCTGAACTTGGGAACCCCAGGCCACCGAAGCAGAGCACGTGCACTTAACCGCTTGCGCCACCAGGCCAGCCCTGAATAGGGTATTTTTGATGTGGGCAATCAAGTGAATTTACAAAGCCCTGGAATGCGGGATTGACTCAGGGAATGGGGGGTTACATGTGAGAGCAAGATCCGCTCCTATGGAAGGTTGCAGGTTGACTGATGAATCTGTCAGATGTGGAAAGTTGCAGATTGATTAATTAAAAAGAAGCACTAAAATTAGAAGCACTAAAATTATTTAACTGGACATTTGTTCTATAAAAAAAAAGGGCTCCGGATTGAATGGTATGGTGGATTAGCTGCACTTTTCCATCTTTACCCCATTGTTGAGATGATTCTTTGTACTTAGAAATGGGTGGAGTAGAATATAAACAATAACATAACTTAATCTTTCCGTGCGAGTGCCTGTTGTTCCTGTACGTGAATTAACGTTCACTTCCTGTGGAGGAGACCTTTATTCTCCAATAACTCAGTCTCTTCCGGGCCAGAGCGGTTAGACCGTCACTCTTGCTGTTGTGAACTGAAGCTTGGCTTACTGTGCTGTCTCTTGCTTTAGTGGCCAATAAGACATGGAATAATTGAAGACTGGGATCTTATGGAAAGGTTCATGGAACAAGTGATTTTTAAATATCTTCGAGCTGAACCTGAGGATCATTATTTTTTAATGGTGAGTAATTGGAACTAAGAGGAATATATCCCTGTAAATTCTGATTTTAAACTCAAGATATTCTTCCCTGGGGAATTTTTAATTCCTGCTAAAGCTATTTGTGTGAATTGGGGTGCTTCTTTGGCAGATAACAGAAGGCTCAACAAAAATGTCTAAAATCAAAAGGGACACATTATCTCACAAAACAGGAGGGCTGGAATTGGGCATTTCCAGGGCTGATTATTTCAGCAGCCCAGTGATGGAAGCAAGGACACAGCCTAGTGCGCTGGCTGAGCCTCCTGGCTCCCTCCATCAGGCTCCAGGGATGGCTGCCCAAGTTTCTATACCACCTCTTGGTGTATCTGCTTTCAGAGGTAGAAGCACTTCTTAAGAATTAAGAATCCCTTTCCCAGAAACCTTCCCAGCAGATTTGCCCATCCGTCCATGCCTAACCTGGTCATTAGCAGGGGTAATGGAATTACCTTGACAGGTTTAGATTAATCAAGACTCTCTCCCTGGGGCTGGGGGGGGGACCATCTCTGATCACCTGGCCCCAGGAGTAAGTACCTAAACAGGTCTCCAACAGCAAGGAAGATGGAGGGAGGAATGGATTTGGGTAGGAAACCAACTGTGTACTTTGATATCCTCGTGAAGTAACTGGGTGACTATGATTTTTGCTTCTTATAACAGAGGAACCTGAGTCAAGATGTTATTTTGCCAGGGTTTAAATCTTACTGTAAAAACTTGAGCTGAGTTATGGGCCCTGATTATGGTACAGTAGTCTACCCTTATCCGAGGTTTCAGTTACCTGCGGTCAACTGTGTCCAAAAATAACGCTATGTCACAGTGTCTAGTCATCCACTTCACTTCATCTCATCACGTAGGCATTGTATCACCTCACAATCATCACAAGAAGAAGAAGGATGAGTACAGTACAATAAGATACTTTGAGAGAGAGACCACATTTACTTAACTTTTATTACAGTATATTGTAATAATTCTTCTATTTTATTATTAGTTGTTAATCTCTTACTGTGCCTGATTTATAAATTAAACTGTATCATAGGTGTGTATGCATAGGAAAAAACATCGTGTATATAGGGCTCAGGACTATCTGCAGTTTCAGGCACCCACAGGGGGTCTTGGACCGTATCCCCTGGGGATAAGGAAAGACTACTGTACTTAATTGATCTTGTTCAAACAAAATAAAACATTACAGAGAAATGAGAAGACATATCTCTTGGTTATGGAATTTGTTCTGTTGTTCTACTCAACATGTGTTTCCTTCCATGAAACGTTCTTTTTAAGTTAAAATTAATTACCTGTACAAAACGCTTGCTTTATAGAGAGCAATTGCATGTAACATAAGCTGCATATTAAGACCTGTGTAGTTTAGCTTTGGATTTTTTCCATGTAAGTACATTGTCAAATGGTCCCAGATCCAATTATGTAATTCTTTCTAATGTTAAATATCAAATGTCTCTTTAGACTTATCTGTCTTAAAGTATGTTAACCACAAGGCTATTATGGTAGGTAGTGGAATATATATATTTAATATCTATTAAAGCAAGTCCTTGAAAGTGCTCTGATCTGGTTTTCTGGCTGTATCTTCACAACTAGGAATTGCCAAGTATGAGAACTGCGTTTTACAGGCCACTGTATATGTTCTCTCCTGTGCGTCTGCAGTGGTTTATGTGAAATAAATGGAGCCAGGAAACTGACAGTGTGTCTGAGCGGCTTTTTCTTTATAGCCAAAACAAATCACAGATTCCCACCTGTCGCATTTGGCATTTCTCCTTGTTGAGCACATCACGTAACTACCTGTTGGATGGCGTGTTAGGACCGGGCACTGTGCCCAGCTGCTTCCTTCTGTCTGCTTCAGCTTACGTGCCAGGAGTTCTCCCTCTTCCTCCACTTGGAGGGACGTCTCATCTTAGGCCTGTGGAGCAAGTGCACACCACCAGGACATAGCTCAGAGGAGGTTTCTCCTGAAAGAAGTGTTTTTCTGATTCACTGGCATACATAGGCTAGTAAGCTAAAACCACTTGCCAGGAAGGAATTGGAGGTGTTTGGTGTAAATTTGGAAAAGCTAAAGTCCATGTGCCAAAAATGAGGACTTGCAATGAACATTCAGAAATAATCAAGTTTATTAAAGATAAGAAAATACTCTATTATATGGATTGTGCTTTGAATTCTGCACGTCAGTTCATTGTGTGATGTGATTGAGGAGGTGGTGAGAATGGGGAACTTCTTTCAGATTTACGCCCTTAATTGTCAGTTAATGGAGTGGTTAAGGGGAGGAGAGCAGGTATAGAGATTTATGGCCACGTCATGGAAGTTAATTGAGGGCATTTACTGAACTGCTGCATCAGATGAGGCTTCTTGGTAGAAGCGAGTCTAAGAGGTCTGAGTTATAGGTCCCTTAGTGGCTCACAGTGGTTGACTGCTGTGACCAGGCATCTGAGCATACAGGGTGAAAATGAGATCATTGTGGCTCATTTTTTCAAGAAGTTTCAGAGACTCAGTTCGTACTGGTCATGTGGATCGAGCAGATAGCAAATGAGGATCATACTCTTCTCCACTACTGAACTGCCCAGAGTTCAAAGCAGAATCCTGGGGGCCGGCCTGGTGGCGCAAGCGGTTAAGTGCGCAAGCGGTTAAGTGCGCGAGCTCTGCTTCGGCGGCCCGGGGTTCGCCGGTTCGGATCCTGGGCGCGCACCGTCGCACCGCTCATCAAGCCGTGCTGTAGCGGCATCCCATATAAAGTGGAGGAAGATGGGCATGGATGTTAGCCCAGGGCCAGTCTTCCTCAGCAAAAAGAGGAGGATTGGCAGATGTTAGCTCAGGGCCGATCTTCCTCACAAAAAACCAAAAAAACAAAGCAGAATCCTGTGTTTTAAAGAGTTGCAGTGCTCTTAAGTGGAAATCGAGTTGTAACTTCAGAAGAGATTTGGAAACTTTTTGAATATGAATCAAACAAGAAAGAGCAAACAGCATGTGCTGCTCAAGAAGGCCCAAGAACCAGGAGCTCCCGTGTCCGAGAGCAAGGAGGATGGGTGTCCCAGCTCAGGGGAGGGAGAGAGAATCGCCTCTTCTCTTTTTGTTCTGTTTGGGCCCTTCTCCCACGATTGGATGGTGCCTGTCCACAGTGGTGAGGGCCGATCTCCTTACTCAGTCTACTGAATCCTAGTCTCCTCCAGAAACACCCTCACAGACACACCCAGAAATAATGTTTTACCAGCCATCTGGGCATCTCTTAGCCCCATCAACTTGACACGTAAAATTAACCATGACATGTGCCATGTCCTGACTTACTGTCCTAGTTCCCTTGCTGGTACTTGAGCGTGACTTAGACCTGCTCTGCCCACTTCAGTGGCCACCAGCCGTGCAGAGCTTGCTCCCTTGGGTTTGCGAGGTTAGTTACTGCTGGCCTGTGTGCTTCCCAGCTTCCAGTATATTGTCGTCTCCTCTCTTAGTATCCCTTCCTTGAGGATTTATACTTTTTTTTGTGTGTGTGAGGAAGGTCAGCCCTGAGCTAACATCCGACGCCAATCCTCTTCTTTTTGCTGAGGAAGTTGGCCGTGGGCTAATATCCGTGCCCATCCTCCTCTGCTTTATATGGGACACCACCACAGTGTGGCTTGACAAGTGGTGCATCGGTGTGTGCCTGGGATCCAAACCCACAGACCCTGGGCCGCTGAAGCGGAGCGCGCGCACCTAACCACTTGCGCCACCGGGCCAGCCCCGAGGATTTATATTTTAAAAAAGTTTCTTTACTGCAGTTATAGAGGGGTATGTGGGTAGAGGAATATTAGATACATGTGTTCCGTTTGCTATCTTTTTCCAGAAATATGGATTGGTTTTTATGGTTCTGATTATTTTTGAATCAATACCAGATGATATTTTACCATTATTATGAGTAAAAATGTTTATGTAGCTTGCATTTGTGTGATGTTTTAATTATATGATTCAATATTGAAGAAAAACAAGATAAACTCAATACCTTCAATTTATTTATTTGAGCTGAACTAACTTCTGTTGCCAATCCTCCTCTTTTTGCTGAGGAAGACTGGCCCTGGGCTAACATCCATGCCCATCCTTGTCTACTGTGTATGGTAACTGCCACAGCATGACTTGAGAAGCGGTGCATAGGTCCGCGCCCGGGATTTGAACCTGCGAACCCCGGGCCTCTGAGGCGGAGTGCGTGAACTTAACCACTACGCTACTGGGCTGGCCCCATCAATACCTTCAATTTAGATTTTGTTATAAATAATGGTTTGGGAAGGTTTTATTTAATTTGGTTGTTGTCTTTTTTTTTTTCTTTACTGTGAAATTTTTGTTGTACATTATTGTTTGTCAGTTACGATATTCTTTTTTTTTTTTTTTTGTGAGGAGATCAGCCCTGAGCTAACATCCGCCAATCCTCCTCTTTTTTTTTTTTGCTGAGGAAGACGGCCCTGGGCTAA